GGCTGTCGCGGAGCATTCGCTTAACGTTGTTGCAGTTCTAACGTTCTTCATACAGCTCAATCGATATGCGATCATTATTTTGGGCATGATCCTACTGTTAGTTCTTTTGTTCCTGCATTTTTTAACCGCTACTGCTTCCTGCCACATCCCTTCGCGCGCGGCGTCCCTCTCGACAATTTCGATCCAACTGCACCACACCCCGGAACAACTGGACGCCTGAGCAGTTTTTGCCTAACAAAACAGCTACCAGAAGATCTTACCGCTCTTGTTCGCCGCTTTAGCGATGCTCTTAGATCTCACCGGCTAAAACACATAAGAATAAACGCTTTGCTTTGGTCTAACGTGGAGAACACTGGCTAAGTGTTCGACTGGCATGCGATGATGACCTAAACAAACAATTGCATGACTACTAACCAAGAGTATTCACCACTGATATTGATCATTTTGATCGATATCTTGTAAACATCTGGATAACCTGACAATAAGAGTTTATTCAACGTTCCTAGCGATATTTAAGCAAAGTTCATGGGCAGTAGAACTCGCTACATACTAACACAAGATACACAGTGATCAATTTCGCCGTCTGACGAACTCTTGGTTCTCCAACACTGGACAATGCTCATAATGGAGTCAGTGAAAAATTTATTCGCTCTCACAGAAATTGGGTGCGATTCTGAACCCTGGTGGTTACGATCAGCTTTCTCGTATTTAACTTGCACCCTGAAAAAGTAGCTCTATCTGTCAAGAGAAACGGATGTCTCTGACGGGGTCTTCTATATTTTCTCAGGGCAGCCAGCTGGAGATGGTGCTCAAATAGCACGAAAACTCAGCGAAAGGGCTTCGTCACTGAAGGAATTTCTTTATTCAGTACAGCGTTTCGGTCCCATAAGTTTGATTGTTTTCAGAAAGCCATTTCGGTTCGCTCAAGATTGGTTCGATATTGTGTGACAGAATTGGTTAGGGCTACCGAACAATAATACCCTCGAACACAAGGAACAGCATTCTTCCGACTAGCTCAAGTAAGTTCCTTCTCAAAATATTGAAATTTTCAAAAAAGACCAACGGCCAGAAATATAACAGATTGCCATTTGTTATAAATATCAGGAAGAGTGTCGGGAAGCTCTTTGCACATTTTTGTTTTCATGTTATGAAATCCTAGGGGTTTGCCGTTCAATGCAGGAAATGTGTAAGTGCTGGTCAATGTCAATGTTCTTCACAACATATCTGCTGCAGCCTTTCGCTGCATCTGCGCAACGCTTATGACTGCAGGGAACGCTCTCGACTCAAATCAAGTTAAACTGCTCCTGCTCAGTCGAAATTTTGTGACGAAGAAAATGTATGATGCGATGGCATCCTTCCTTGTCTCTCACAGCGCAACAAGGAATGGGTACCACAAGTTCAGAAATCGCCTCTTTGATTAGAATGAAAAATCATGATGTGGGATACTAGTTGAGCTGAATGACGACCAACTTCCGAAACTGGTTGAAGAAGAGTTGTAGTACCCGCGAGCTGAAACAGAAGTTCAATATCCACCATGACACAGTAGCTGCCCATTTGCGTCTGGTCTTAAACAGATGGAGGTATAGAGATACGGATAAGTTGTCTGCCAGCTGGGAGGTCACACCTCCAAATAAGGGTAGTTTCGTGCCTGAACTTTTTGACTTTACGACGCACCTCCGCAAGTAAAGTGGGGAAGCGCCAGTGGCTCGGACGCGTAGAGCACGGAATTTCCACCACCGACTCAGCACTTCAACCTAAGAAGATAATGTTGAGCGTTTGAAGGCATCCGAAAAGGTCATCCACTATGAGTCGAAGCACTGGAGTGATGGGACTGGATTAGCACTCCATTCTAAGAGCGCATTCGAAAGGATAGTCTCCTAGGAGTTGAAGCTAATAAACCCTACTTCAGCGCTGATGCCTACTGTGCTCTGCTGGAACAAGATGGGGCAGCTCGACGAAGGAAACAGCCAAAGGTCGGCTTCCACGACGGCAATGCTCGCCTACACACTGCGAAGAAGACGCAGAAAAAACTTCAAAGCTTTGGATGGCATGTTCTGACCCAGTCACCGTAATGAACAGGTTTGGCCCAACAAATCATAACCTGTTCCTGTTGCTATCGAGCCATTTGAAGAATGAAAAGTTTGATGATGCAAGCCAACTAGAAGCGTGCATCGGCAAGATTTTCTTTTCGAATCCTCAGGAATTCTATGCTAGTGGGATCCACATGTTGATCAATAAATGGCAATACGTTGTCGATGATGGTGGTGCATATACTTGTATATTGATAGTCGTTATGAAGGGAAAGAAACGTTTGTAAAAAATGGAAAATATGCAAAGACTTTACCGACAATCTGATATATTTCTTCCCTCCGTTAGTTCCACTCGTTGCTGCTTTTCATAATTTCTTTTTTTTGTAGCTGTACATAGAGACTTATGTTTGTAAATTTGGGCTGTAGAATTCGCAAATATTTCGTTCGTCCGTGGACGATAATTGCCCTAACATCTGTATTCCATGAGAGGACAGGGTTTATGTTGCCTGAGGTGAATATCACTTCCTCGGCTTTCGAGCCAGTTCTTCTCCCATCTGCTTCATTTATGTCGGTTTCTTTTGTCTGTAAGCTTCTTATTTGCACTGATTTCTTTTGATTTCTCTTTCCCCCTTACTGCTTCACAAAGTGTTCGAGAATACGAAATCTTGTCATTCTCTGGAAAATGTTAGAGCTAAAAGTGATCCCCTATCCAAATGGTTCTATAGCGACAAAAACAGGTTATAAATTGTTGGCCCAGTCCTGTTCATTGCGGTGGCTGGCTCAGAACATGCCATCCAAAGCTTTGAAGTTTCTTCTGCATTTTCTTCGCAGTGTGTGGGCGAGCATTGCCGTTGAGAAAGCCAAGGTTCCGCTGTTTTTTTTTTTCGTGGAGCTGCACCATCTCGATCCAGCAGAGTACAGTAGGCATCAGCGCTAAAGTAGGGTTTGGTGGCTTTAACTCCTAGGAATCTATCCTTTCGGATGCGCTCAACGTTCCTTCGTGAATGAGGAGAAGAGCCTGAAATTTACTTTTTCGGTGAAATGGATGTCACGGGGAATATTTATGAAAAAAATATTTTATCTGCTATGTTTTGTATTTCGAACCTCAAACCCTCTCCATGGCTGTCAAAGCAGTAGTCAGAATAAGAATTGTACCCTGTCGTTCATCTAGCCCTGAAGGGTGAGAAGTAACTCATTCACTACGGACTGCACATCAGTTACGATCACTACTCGCTCGGCAACCTTGCGCTTCATTGTTATCAAATACAAGAGAAGTAGTGATCCCATCAGTACATATGTTAGCGAAATGTTTTATACTTGAAAGGAAGAAACATGATGGATTGTGTTCGAACTGTAGCGAATTGTGAAGTAAATTGCTTTTATACAGCTGATTACGAACACTCGACATTCACAGAACACCACAGAAACACACAATCTGTTTTTCAGTCTATCTGAGCGGTGATAAATAGGAATTCCAAAAAATCAGGTGGAGCGAATCTGTGACTTTCGAGACATCACCCAAGAAATGTTCTGTGTTCTGTTGACTGATAATTTTTAGTTTTCGTTGACAACTTAATACCAGAAAAGCCCTCGTAGTCTCGAACTCTATTAAGATATTACGAAAGGGAATTCAGATTTTTGACATTTCTATATGAATTCCCTAATTTAGTACTGAATGAATTCCCTTATTTAGCGTTGTTCCCTGCAGCATCCCTTTACGGCGAAAAAACAGAATTTTTGGAATCAACATTTTGGTGGGATCATTGAACATCTGAAATACCGTAGTCAGCCAACAGAGACGCATGCAGGGGACCATCTAATACAAGATTCACTATCAGCTGTGGAATACAGCGCTATGTGAAGCAGTGACAAGCATAAGAAACAGAAAGTGATAACGGTGTCTGGCAGAAAACTCCAATATGGTGCTTTCCGCACAGTGAAAGAGTTCTGGAAGAGAGCTGTCTTTGATATCAGTCTCACTGTAAGTTATAGGCAACAGACAGGTGGGCAACAAAGATCAAAAAATTTCCGAGATACCCTTAGCTTACGGTTTACAAAAGCACCTGCATCAAAAACCTTTGATTTGATGAAAGATGAACAAGGCGAAGTACTATGGAAATTCACATTTTCCGCAAGCAAAAGCTATCACGGATGCTCCAAAACCTTTCCATGACCTATGGACATTATCGACCTGGGTGAAGTTCTTTCACGATTGTACTAGGAAAATTGGTTGGAGAAGTCAGAAAAACGGCCGGAGACTTGGGTAAACAATATTCTCTAATCAACAAATTTTTTCAAACATCGCAATAGGCACGCGCAAACCTGGCTACCCCCCTTCTCTGCCCTTGAGCTCTTAGCGTTACAGATGAAGTATGGCCCCTCCCCAATTATGTTTCCACTTTGTTGCTCATTGTTTTCACATCTCTGGTTGATTTTGAGTAGTTTTTCTTTCTTTTCACTAGAGACCTTGGCAGTTGAATGATCTCGATGTTTTTTACGAAAAGGAAATTTGGAGCATTCAACATTTGCTTACATAAGTTGGTAATGAAACAATTCTCGTATAGAACCATTTTGGCTTAAATACACATACAACGGAGTTAGAGATTGCAAATCACAACCCTTTTTCAGACAATAACCTCTCTTTCATGGTGAAAAACATATAATAATACATGTAAGATTTGGGATAAATGCTGAATGCTGAATTTCTGAATTCAGAGTGTTGGGAATGAGCTCACGTTCTATGGTGTAGGAAACATGGAGAAGAAAACCGTCTAGGGGGAATCATAAAGCAATTTTGATCTTCATCATTCTTGACTGTATCGATTCATCAGTTGGAGAACCGTATAGGTTCCATTGCAGCCGCTCATTGGCATATTAACTCCATAATTGGTGGTCGAACACCCAATTGAATCCATTTCCGTTCCAGAAAATTCCTCTACTTTTTTTGAGCTCATTTTGTTCTTTTTCATTTACCTTCCGAATTTTTTGTTCCGGATCCGATTCCTTCCAATTTTTTGCTGCGCTGTAAACAAAATGAGTATGATGAGAATATGTACATGTATGTGGGTAGATCCTATGTAAAATGTAAAATGTGATGTAAATAAGTAGTGATATAGTTTAGGATCGACGTTCATTTTCAACTTTATATTGCGTGATCTGTTGGCTGCTACTATCTCAAGTAACTTCGCATATCAAATGACTTGACGATTGAAGAAATATCGAAGGTTCCATGGCCTCACAGAAGTACGTTTTCTTCTTTTAACATCGATATGTGGAATTGTCGCTCGTATGATGAGTAGCTTTTTCAAACCGGTCATGACATAAGAAAGACGTGGAGAGAGGAATTCTTCTGCATTACCTGAAATTTTCCTATGTGTGGTCCTTCTTTCAAGGCATATACATATGCATATAGTTGAATTCATATTCTGGTTTATTAGGGAAGCTTTCGCAGAATCTTGAGGTCGAGCTTTAGCGAGAAAAATTTTCAAGAACAGACTCATTTCATCAGTTATTGCCTACCCTACTCTGCTTAATAATGGTTCACCATGTTTTCGGGAGTTTCATTGTGCCACTTTCAAAGGGGGCTTCAGTATTGGGGTCAAGAAACTGTTCTAACAATAAGTGCACAAAACGATATCTGCAGAGTTCCTAACAACTGATATTAAGATATAATAAATGACGAGTGATAGTGGTGATATACCCTGTCTGGGTGAGGGATACGGCGAGAAGCCTGCCCAAACTCCACTAATTTTCGGTGAGTCGTCAAAGATAAGTGCGATTCGGTATAGCCCTGATTAGAACCACTTTTTAGGATTGGCTACTTCTGGGCGCTTTTGTTCTGTTGCTGCCTTCGAATTGTACAGCTGAGTATAGCATCTTTCTGAATGTATCGCTTGGCTGTGCGGCAGTACATACAGTAGCGCTCAAAAGTCTTCGGTGAAATGGTTCTTCAGCCGTTCTTTTCAGTCGTAATTTCTTTCCTACTGGATCTAATCAGGCAAAATTTCTATATTTGGAGCGTGGATGTATTGTGAATATTTACCACTATTAATCTGCAATCTGATCATGTTCCAGATATTCCAAGAAGCATGAAAATAAAATCGATTGAAAATACAGATGATGGTTCTTCTAGGGTAAGCCTATTTAGTTCCACGTCTAATTACTTCGCACCTTTC